TGCGCGAGCATTAATCTATACATTTTAGTTGAGTACATCCTTCAAACACACTAAGATCCAAAAAAAAAGACTTAAGATATTCCCAGTGTCGGCCTCCTAAAGTCAAGGAAAGCAGGCGCGCTCTTAGCTTTGTGAATAATTGTCGGCCTGTAAAAGAAGTCGGGAGAAGATGGCCTGATGAGTTTGATGTTGGGGGTACTGTGTTGTTTTATAGAAGCTGGAGCGGAAATACTGCTAGTATGCGTAGCTATAAAGGCTCCTGGAGGCTTGTTTGCTTCGTCCTTTTCCCAGAAGTACAAGACCTTTTCTTCCCACTGGCGAAAATCCAGCATGTTGATAATCGTGAAAAATATTTGGGCGAGAAGATTAATCTCCAAAGGAGACGTTCGAAGCTTATAGAGAAGCCATCGATTAATTCGGTCGTTTTTGTTATCCTCGTCAAACTCAGTGATCAGGAATTCGAGATTGGCTTTATCCTCAACTGATGTTGGAAAAAGCTTAGGGAACATACTATGATCATGTTCACTTCTTAGTCCACCGATATCTCGCACCGTAGTCTCCTCTGCTGTATCATTATTACTGCTGCCACCCTCCCTGCCACCACCTTCAAGGCTTCCGAGGCTGCTGTCTCTAACCTCAATGCCTTCCTCCAAGCACTGGGCCTTCAACATTTCAAGGTCTTTTCTGATCTCTGTCATTTCATCCAACAGAGCAGCTTCCCGTGCTGGGAGGCTTTCTAAGAAGCTTTTCGAGTCCCCATCAAAATTGAGGCCAAGTCTTGTCCGTGTCTCTTGCTTTAAGAGAAGAGTTTGTCGTTCCTGAAGCGTGTTGTCGTAGCTTTCTGTGGCAAGATCCAAATCGCCCAGCCGCGAAAGGTATTTGGCATGCAGAGGATGAAAGTCCTCACTAGCTTCCGAAGAAAGGCCCAGGAATGACTGTGATGTTGGTGGTAGGGTCGTAGAAGTGGGTGTTGTAGTGTCAACGCCACCTGGATGAGAAATCGTATATTTGTATAAGCGGCCCTCCATGCTGTCAAGAGCGAATTCTGTTTGGTCCATTAATTCTTTCAGGTTGTTGTATTCATACTCGGAAGGTCCATAGTCATCTCGAGCTGCTTGCATTGTGGCATAATAGTCCTGGAGATCAGACACCGGCAAGTTCAAAGATGCTGTTGACGAAGAAGACAAAAGAGAAGCCCGCTCCCTAACAAACTTCATAAATGCCTCGTCCGCTGAGTGCTTAGCTGCCTCTTTCTCGTTGAGCTCTGCCTGCTTTGCGCGGATCTTTGCCCGAAGTCTGAAGATATCTATACGCAACGAACGCATTTTTGTTCTATCTTCTGCCATTCGAGCGGGATCAGGCTCAATCAACTCATCTTGCGCAAGAAACCTCTCCATGGGACCCAAATTAAGGGCTGGCGATTGTTGCGAATACCCTTCATGAGTCGATCTTATGTGGCTTCTTGGAGACGGAGCTCGGTGGGGTTCGGACGCGTCGGCTGTTGACGCGCTTTGATCGCTGGCGTGCATTGTCTCGGCCGTTTGGAGGTCATGGAGCGTATTTAATTGAACACCACCGGCAGGAGTCTGGCAAGACGCCATATACATGTCAGCATCCGTTTCTTTCGGGCTCGGCGGTGGCAGTGGTGTACTGTTCACAGGGGTACCATCTAGCGATGTTCTATCACCCGTGTTTGATGTGACGGAGGAATGCCGAGTGGCATTGCTGCTACTCTTTTCAGAGCTGAGCGAAATGCCATAATCATGGCGTTTTGTATCCGCATCTGATGTCTGGCTCTCGTTACTGCTCCATTGGAGAGTTTGTTGACCTTGTTCCCAGCCTCGTTGTACAAATATGTTTTTATCTTTTCGTTGGGGTTGCCCGGCGCGAGTCATCAGCTGCATGAGTCCGCTCTCAGCTTCCGTGGACGAGTTGAAGTCTGCCATGTGGACATAATGCTGCGTGTTTGTGATAGCGAAAAGCAATCCGAACAAGATGTGGTATATTGAGTCAATGGCTGCATGGGGTGAGAGTGGCTACATCGTTGAGATACAGTAGCATAAGCCTGTGCGAAGAGTGTCCTTTTAAGGAAGTGCATGGTCCTCCCTCGCTAGTCCGCCCTATATCTACCTGTGAGCTATTTCTTTCTTTGACTTCTCGTCCCACGGGAAGTTTGGAATCGCGCCACAATCCTACTTTACCCTGGACACCCACGCGGGATGATTCGAGCAGATGACAACCTCGGAGTTATTCCCCGCACTACATTTCAGAGGTGCGCATCATTTCAGATAAGACATCCCTGGCTTTCCACTATATCAGTCTGCAGCCGCTCTCTTGCAGTAGTACTGCCGTGCCGATGGCCAATAGACGTCCTTTCATAACGCCGGGTCGACTAATAACCGGGACTGGATATATGGGTGTACAGTTACTTCTTCAGCATGTCTGCGTGATGTGCTGCAACCAGTCAAGCGGAGAATATGAGGCTCTTTCTCATCTTTCTATTTGATAGCGGGTTTCAGGCCACCCTCTATGGCATGCATCTCCTCTAAAATGGTCCACGGACCCCGTGATTCAGCCCGTAAAGATGTCTTCTCGATCTTCGAAGAGACGACCTAGCGACAAATCTACTTCATGGTCTGAATGGACGTGGGACGCTGCACGGGGGAAGTATTATAAAGCAAGAAGCGACAGTAAAGGCGAATGTGAGCAAATTCCTATCAGTTTTGTCCATAACAGCTGTCCCCAGAAGGTATGAAGGCTTATGAGTAAATCAGGGGAGTATTACTGGGATGAGAGAGAGGCGCAATCATCCTCGACATACGAGACTCCAAGAACAACTGCTGCCGACACGAACCCCCAAAACTCCGCCAATGTCGGGTCCAGTTATTCCGCTAGCAATCTAGCGGATGATCTTTCGAACACCAGTCTGACATCCGCTGGTAGAGATTCTTCGAATTATGTTACCACAAGTTCATACGGTCCCGGTGGTAAGTCTCCATGTACGAATCAGATAAGTGGTTACTTACCTGACATGCATTTGTCTCAGGGACCAGCAGATCACAACCAATTCAGATACCTACTCATACGGCTTCTGGTGGGGGTGGGATGTACCCGTCTGCGACACCATCCGGTGCGTACATGGGCAATAATGGAGGCGGGCCGGGTAATCTGACGTAGGGTATTCGCTGACTCTGGGCAGGCTATTTTGCAAACGCAAACGCAGACACGGACCAATGGCCTGCTTCCTATAGCAGTTATTCATCCACTCCAAGGGCTGATACAAATCCACAAGATGACTACCAGTCAGCTCGGACCAATTCAACCACTAATGCCAGCGCAGCAAGACAACCAAACCTAAATGAGGCAAGTGGCAGTGGAGACATGACCAAAAAACCAATTCACCGAGCCATTCAAGGGACGAAAGGAAAGGAGGAGAAGCTTGATATGAGTGAGTGTACCCAGAGTCTTTTGATAATCCCACCAACAAGTCTTCAAAGGGATAAGAGTCCACAAATCCCATTACTTCCGACCAGGCGAAGTAAGTCTCCAAGCCCCGATAGGCCTATATGTACTCATGAATGCCTGGCGTAGGTCTTCAAAGTTCTTTGGTCAGAACCTAAAGGCGACATATCTTCTTCCAACGCGACTGTTGTCACTCAAGACGCTCGAGAAGGTACAGCAGATGCGAAATATGGAGAACAATCGTTTTCGAAAATCCGACGTTTCGTAATCGTCGCAGCAGATCACGGGCATTGTCAATGCGTGTATGTGCCATAGATCGTGCCTAACTGTGATTTAATTTTCTGACCTGCGTGTATAGGCCCATCTTAACCTACCAATATCAAGGCACCACTAAATCGGGTGTCAAACGAGACGAGCATGCAATAATCTACACTGGTGACAATCCTCCAGGACTAGTAGAAGGGGAGGCTCCTCTACACTTGACTCCCATAAAGGTTGATACAAATTCACCTCGTGATAAGCTCGACCCAACTTCTCGTGTTAACTATGCGAAAATATACACAGTTGAACATAACGTCAAAGTTCACTTTATTGGCAGGATTGCCGATAATGATCGCTGGAGGTTTAACGCCGATTTCGATGCGACTTGGAATAAAAAGAGACTCATGAACGTCTGATTGGAACTGAAGTTTCGGAACAACATCTGCTGAGCAGATCATTCTTGCGACCCAGAACGAAGTCATGGGTCTATGATGAGCGATTATTAGATCGCTCTTATCAACACAAATACGTTAAGCCATTGCAGGACAAGGTAGGTTGAGTCAAGATTTCTTTTGTTGGCCCTTGCGTGCCAAGCAACATCTCATGAAAATCGTCGAAGTCTCTTAAGTGTATTGAAGATGGAAAATATGTCCGTGGCATCTGCAATAGCCAGTTTCTTTTGCATACTAAGCAAAGAGCGATTGTTGGAATTGGAAACCTCGCAAGTCGAGTATATGTTTACACCCTTTTCATTATATGAAATAACGGCCGCGTTTCTTTGGAATCTGAATTTTGTACGGAAGTCCGATCTGGTTTTTCTTAGGGACATCCAATACGTTATCTTGAAGAAGCAAGACTTTGGAGGCAGTGAGTGAGACTGCGTAGCTCTACCGTACAGTCGGGCTAATTGCATTTAGCCTCACGAGTTGATAATCGCATATTATTTCCAAATATCGCTCTTCAAACCCGGGGTAGGTCACGTGCCCAAGTGAGAACTCCAGCTTGACTGTCACGCCCAGCCTTCCTCCCCAACTTCTATCGGCGTAGGCGTTTAAAAACAGTGCGGTCGGTCACTGGCCTAGTGAAGTGAAGAGAAAATCGAGTGGGGAATATGTGAATCAATTACTAATCTATACATTGTGCTATGCATCCCAGACTCCCTTGCCAATGCTTCTAATGAATGCAGTCTCTCCTCTATGTTCGTTTTCATATGTATACCGTCCCCATCATCTTACACGCTGCTAATATTTTACAACAAATACAAAAGAAGAGGTAGATTACAAGTATCTCTTCTCCTCTTTCTGCTCGTAAGACTGAATTCGGTCCCCGACTTGGAATTCGAACCAGTCCGTGAAGCTCATACCGCACTCAGCGCCATTCTTGATTTCCATGACATCTTTCTTGACGTTTTTGAGGGAGGCGAGGGAGCCTTCATTATATTAGCAGAGTTTCCACCGGACTGGAATAGATTGGAAAGGATAAAACATACCATCATAGACCTTCTCGCCATGCCTGATCACTCTAACCTTGGCGTTCTTTCCAATTACCCCGTTTCTAACCTTGCAACCAGCAACATTTTTCTGCTGCCTTCCCTTGACGGTAATGGAGAAGATATTTGAAACATCCGCCTCACCTAGCACTCTCTGGGTAATCAGTGGCGGCAAATGCTTGCTTAGCTCAGCCTTGACATTCTCCACCAACCGATAGATGATGTTCTCGTTAATGATATTAACTTTGGCTTGCTCAGCAGCACGAGAGATATGAGGTTCTACTTGAGTGTTGAAGTTAATAAGCTGACCCTTGGCAGCTGCTGCGTGCTCAATGTCAAACTCGGAGAGTTGTCCAACGCCAGAACGGAGAATATGTGGGTGGACTTCTTTAGTGCCGAGCGCGGCAATACTGTCCATGACTGCTTCAACGGAACCACTGACGTCGCCTTTAACGATGAAGTAGACTTGCTTAGGTCCACCAGCCTTTTGCTCAGGAATATCCAAAGCACGACCCTGCTTTTCGGCCTCAGCTTCCGCTTTCTCGCGATCGCGCTTTTCTTGCTCGACTTTGCGGTTCTCGTTGATGGCTTCCATATCTTCGGCCATTCTGTCACGTTCTTCTCTCTCAAGTCTGTAATCGATCACGCTCTTGGCCTTTTGTTCGTCAACAGCCTGGAGAACCTCATCACCTGCAAGCGGCTGTTCACGCCATCCGTCAACTTCGACTGGAGTTCCCGGACCTGCTTCCTCAATCTCAATGCCAGCTTCGTTGCGGAGACAGCGGATTCGAGCCCATGTCTTGCCTGCCACGATGGAATCACCTGGGCGCATTGTTCCTCTTCGGACGAGAACAGTGGCGACTTTGCCCACAGACTTGATACTTGCTTCGAGTACCCAGCCTTCAGCTTGACCATCGGTCTCCGCTCGCATGTCGAGAACATCAGACAATGCCACTGCAGCTTCTTCCAGCTCATCCATGCCTTGACCAGTCTTGCCACTGACACAAACAACTTGTGTCTCTCCGCCGAAATCTTCAACATCGACGCCGTGTCGAGCAAGATCTTGCTTGACCCGGTCAATGTTTGCCTCTTCTTTATCAACTTTGTTGATGGCTACCATTATAGGCACGTTAGCTGCTTTAGCATGCTTGATTGCTTCAATGGTCTGAGGCTTGACACTATCATCTGCTGCAACTACCAAAATCACAATATCTGTAACAACGGCACCTCGCTGACGCATGTTTAGGAATGCCGCATGGCCAGGAGTATCTAAAAATGTGATGGTCTTGCCGGAGTGCATTGGTACGGAGAATGCTCCAATATGTTGTGTAATTCCTCCATGCTCTGTCGCAGCAACAGATGATTTTCGCAGGTAATCGAGGATAGTGGTCTTTCCATGGTCGACATGTCCCATGATTGTCACAATAGGAGGTCTTTGGGGCAGTATAGACGGATCTTCGGCCGGTGGTCGTGCTTTCAAATCTTCCGAATCGCCACGATCGATAATGGGATCAAAATTGTATTCCATTGCAATGAGGCCAGCGTTTTCCGAATTCAAGATGAAATCGTGATTTGTCTCTTCGAAGCCCAACTCCTGCATCTTCCAAACGAATTCCTCGAGCCTAACATGTAGTGCAATTGCTAAATTGGACACAGTGATGTATTCCGGGAGCATAATTGGAATTGGTTTTCTGGCAACCTTTTCGCGCTTCCGCTGCTTCTTTAGCTCCGCACGTTCTCGGGCTTCTTGCCGTGCAGCATCCTCGACTTCATCTTGATTAACGAACCGCTCGCGCCGCTTGGCTTTATCTCGTTCTTTACCATTTGGCATTTTGTTGTAGCTTGGTTTATCATCCGATTCAAATCGTGGACTTGCTTTCTTTCCCCGGCTTTCACGGGCTGGACGTTTCAACTCGTCATATTGAGGTTCAGCCTTTTTGCTTTCTTCTGCCCTGGGAGCTTGTTCGGCCTTTTCCCTCTCTTCAACCTTAGGAGTTTGGCCGACACCTGCCGCTTTACGAATGGGGCTCCAGGAAATGGTTGGTTCAGGATCCTGCTTCCCATTTAACTCACTTCTCTGATCCCGAGATTCTGATTGCCATATACTTTTTTCAGCAGCTTGCTGGGGTGAAATTTGAGCACCTCTACCGGCACCCCACCGTGACTGGTCCTCCTGCTGATACGGTTCCCGTCTGGTACTGAACGTGGAATCCCGTGGAGGGGTAGCTGACCTGTTGCCCAGAGGTGTATAACGTCCCCACTTAGCCTGCTCTTCCCTTTGAGCTCGACCTTCCACAAATCTATCGATAGGCCTCGTTATTTCTGGGCCCTTGGCTTCATCCCGAGCAACTGTTTTAGACTGTCGCTTCAAATGCGCCCAACCGGGAAAGTCTTCCGATTGTTGATTTGACCGAGACGCAGGCGGAGCGTCACCCATAACATGCCCAATGCGTCGGATAGGTGGAGCTCTAGCTCCTGCTTCTCTCTGCCGTTCTCGAGCTCCCTCACGTTCGAGTGCCCTCCGACCTTCCTCCATCAGCTCTTGTTGGGTACGTTGACGAGGATAAGGACGCCCTGCTCGAGTTGTATGCGGCCCGGGTCCGGTGGGGATAGTGATTGGCCTCTGTTGTGATGAGATACGCTTTTCTTCTAACAATTCTCTTGCTCGCTGTGCTTGGGCAGCTTGTTCCTTCATCAAGTCTCTTGCTCGTTGCTCATGTGGCAACATGCCGTTGGTTTCTGGGGTCTCGTTCGAGCGGCCTGGCTGTATCTTCGCTGCTGGTATACCATTTCCGATGGAATTTGGTCCACCCCAGCTTCCCGCAGGTCCAGCGGGTGGTATTCCTCCCCTTCCAACTCCAGGTCGACCCCATGTATAGGTAGTACCTAAAGAGTTCCCATTTCCAGCGTTGGGTCGCCCCCAGGTCACTGCTACCGGTTTCGTTTCTCCATTGTTATGATCTTCTCGTGATGCAGCTGCCTCTGCTGGGGGTTTCGATACCGGACGAGACGATTGTAGGAAACGGCGCTGGACGTGTGATGGACGTCGAGCCTGTCCAAGCCGATGCGCGCAGAAGGCGCATACAGACGGGTTCGTAGATTCCTATCCAGCATTAGAATGTATTGATCTTAGATATGTCGAGGTTTTCTCCTAACCTTCAATAGACTTCGACCCCTCATAGTTGGTCAATGGATGGCAAAGAACATGTTCGGAATCATAAGGTTGTAAATTTTTAGATATCAATGGTACGGTGGCCTAGTGCCATCAAAGTGCACTTTGACCCTTACCATGTATTTCTAGGAAGTACATCAAGCGCGCGAATAAGTTGCAATTTCTGTTGAAGGAAAGCAACATGCCTCCAAAAAGCAAAGCAAAAGCTTTTAGGAACCCTCCTGCACAGGCTCTAGTTCGGTCAAAAAATGGACCTCCGGAACCCTTTTCACGACCCTCCTCTAAGCTTGAACCCTTCCTCTCGACGCTTTCGACAAACCATATCTATATCACCCATATCGACACGAAACCCGTCGACTTCAAGCGCAAGATCTTCCTTGTTCCAGTTCTTATGAACATTGCCATCGTTGGCCTGATAGTATGGCGCATCAAATACATCCTGCCTTGGTACACGAAGATATGTTGGTCTTTGATGACTGGCAGGAGAAACGAAACTACCTTGGATACGGCGCGGATGCCATACAATGATATAGCAAAGCAAATACTACGTCGATTCTTGACATTTGTGCTTGATCTGATGATCTACGTGTTTATATGGCCGTGGCCGAGTGCTTTCTTCACTGGCCGAGTCGCAGGCAATCCTGTCCTGTGGAGATTCATTGTCGGATTCAACAGAGAGGAGATTATTGTCCGCCGGAGTAGGAAATGGTTCGAACCGGGCTTAAACATGTTGGAGGACGGGAGTAAACAGGATCTGGTGCTCAGCACCGTTCGTCAGGCCACAAATCCTATGTGGATGAACGAAAAGACGGGATATCTGATGCTTAGCAAGGAGTGGGATCTAGACTGGAAGCTTATGGTTGCTGCCACCAAGCTTTGCGATAAGAAGGAGATGGATATGAAGGATTTCAAGCCTACGATTTTCATCCATGATAAAACATTTGGATGGATGACAATTGAGTCGGCTGCTGCAAGTGGCACCGCGAAAGAGGAAGAAGGACGTGTAAGTCACAGAAATTGTAGCATGATACAAACTGTCAACTTGCTTTTGAGAACGATTCTCGCATTTGAGTTGTCAAAAGATGGTGCTAATTTTACTCCAGAGGAAAATCGTGGCTTTCAAAGATGAGCTTACAATTATGGGAAAAGAGAACCTCTTCTTCCGCTGGATTGAGCTAGTTCAATTCGAATCCTCTCAACCTGGTGGATTTGGCCCAGAAAGACAAAAGGATACCATGATTAAAGCGAAGAAATTGTTTGAGGACCAGGGTGTAGATTTCGATCAATTTTGGGCCAAAATCGGTGGAATGCAAGGTACGTCTGAATTTTGCGTATAATATGCGAGCATGTCACAACAGCGCTCTGCTCCCAGAGCCACTCAGGAAAAGCATGTACTGATTTGTTGAATAGGCATGCCAGGCATGGATGAGATGTAAGAGTATTCTTCCAGTCCAACATGGGAACCTTGGCAATTTGAAGATGCACCACGTGCTATGCTAGCCATATTTTTCGACCTCGTTTGAGAACCATGATCGCAACCGGAAGAGCGTGTCAACTGACGTCAAACTTCGCAAACCGTTCAATCCTGTTACCACTTTGCTTAATAGCAAGGCATTGCGTTCTTTGAGTTGGCTTAGGTCTCACGACTTTTTGGCCCCAGATTGGCTCAATTTGTAAAATCAATGCAGTGCCAAGGGTGTCTGGAAATACTTACGAGGCAACGAAGATCCAGAACTGCCAAATGTACTATAGCTACATAACACGTTGATCGGTATTCCGGCTTGTCTCCTCATCCCTCTTGGAGCATTAGTGGTAGGATTGTAAAAATATGGATCGAGGGGCGTTCGTCTTGGATTTCACCACTTGTATATTCCTGTATCCTGATTTTAGCTTGTTCATAACATTGGAAAGTCCGCTTCATATCTCAATTCTTGATTTGAAGTACCCACGGTATGAATTTTACCCAATATTATTTGTTCCTTTGATGCTTAACTTTAGATTGATAGTTCAAGGAGAATGGCACTTGCGGCGAAAACTTGTTCGAGTATGCTGCTTCGTTTGGAACGCCAAAGCACCCAACCACCGAAGAGGATAATATCTTCAGAGAAAAAGCTTCTGGTGGAACCAATGTTAATCAATACCGACTATGTCCATGTCTAAAAATGGCATGGCTCCTCTTACTAGAGAGCGCATAATTCAAAAACGGATGCGCTTCGAGTCCTGTCGGTCGGCATCGTCTTCCCGTCAATGCTACTGGCGTCCGCTGAGACCAAGCCACCAACGATCTCCGATCTCCTGGAGCAGAGACCGTAAACTCTCCGGTCCGTACTCGACATGTCACCCAAATTGCTATCGATGTCAATCGCAACTACTATCATTTAATCTAACTATTGCTGGTCACGAGTCTAGCTTCCGTTCGACCAGGCCCAGACTTGTTCCACCCCATCAAAACCTTTCCGAACTCGAGTTACGCAGCATCGCCTGCCTCCGTGATAAGACCCCCGTTCTACCATGGCATATTGATAGTCGTTTCGCTCAAGGTGGCATGCTATCATTTACATCTCACAAGGCGACGGTGATCAATATTATTCGCCGAAGATTTCTCAATCTTACATACATTTGGCAGTGCGGAGATTAAAATGACGCGAAAGGTAAGGAATGTATATGTATAATTGTGAGATGTATTGGAGAAATCTAGGTGAGTCTGCGATGCCGATTATCAATGTATTAGTGAGCAATCAAGTCTTCTTTCCGACTACTTGGAAACAGTAATGATATTTCTTCTGGTCGGTTTCGATTTTGTTTTAGCAATAATTTGCGATGAAATTCAAGTTTCCATACCCTTTTTCCCCATCAAAGCAACAGTCGGTGTTGGTATCACAGGTTTGATACGTGATCACTTCTCTCCTACGTAGTATAGACTTGATTCTGTATTTGGTTGTTGATGCTTAGCATTCATAATGGTGTTGCAAACGCGAAGAGGCTATGCCTCTTCTGCTGACTAAGCTAGATCACATGATGTCACATGACTGGAAAGGTCGGAATTCAACCCATATTCCAACAGTCGGAAATTGGCCCTTCGGAGCATTCAGATTACCAATTTTGCTTGATTCAATTTGTGGAAGAAGTGTGTAGCGATCTGATATCACGAATTGAATTTCCTAAAGCGAGGTCGCAACCTTTTGTAACGCAAGTGCAAAACGAAGATATTGCATATCAGTAGCTTTGGTACAGGCAAAAGTTACTTGTCGCTTCCTCCAATTCAAACCCCTGAATTAATAGGGAAATAGTGATGCATGCAGATAATCACAACGGGTGAGCCTCGTTTTGAGAAGAGGGGAACAGCAACTCACATACACCCCAAAGAGTAAGTCTTTGTTTGTTTATTTTACATGCCCCCAGGTTTCTATCACAAAAAGATCTACAGCCTCGTGCTGTCGGCGTTTTCTAGCGTGAACACAGCATTAGACTGAAGTCCAATTTGAGGCTCACAAGTACGCACCGTCCACTCAGTCGGGTATCCCAGTTCGGTACTTTGTGCTTTCAATACATAAATTGGGATTTCGAATTTCGATCGACTGCTACCTGCTTAAGTAAGTGTTGTGTAGCAGGACCAGATAACAAATCCCATTCGAACTCTCAACACCACGCATTGAAAAATCACAATCAATCGACTTCATAGACCTGTCTGTTCCGGAAGATCTGCGTTTGAAATCTATAAGTATAGAAAGAGGTAGTCTCCCAGAGCCATAAATCAACCAGTCTTTTCCACCAATACATTCGTTACCTAAAATAGTCGAGCTTCAAAAGTTTCAGACCTACAGCCCAGCATGCTCTCTCTTCTTTCTCTGGGCTTGCTTCTCCATACAGTTATCGGCGTCGCGATTCCTAACGAGGAGTATGTCGTCGCAACCCCAACCACTGTCCCTTACGCACCTGTATACGCCACCTCGTCGTCTTCTACCAGCTGTACCAAATCATCTTCATCGTCCTCGCTTTCAACTAGCTGTACGAAAACAAGCTCAGTGGCACCATACTACACCACTCCCTCAACTACGCCTGTATATGAATATGTGTCTTCCAACTATGTGTCATCGTCAGCCAACTGTACAAAATCATTCCTAGGCTCGTCTTCAAGCTGGACAACGTCCACCACCTGTACTAAGTCTCTCTCATCTTCGGTCTCGGCAGCACCGTACTACAGGAGCTCCTCAAGTGTACACGTCTATGAATATCCTTCATCAACGCCTGTTTCATTGAATTCCACTAGCTGTACAAAGTCACATTCGTCTACGGCAGCTCCCTATTATGCCAGCGTCCCTCCTGCGTATTATTCATCAATTTCTGTTTCATCAAATACCACCAGCTGCACAAAGTCTTCAACCTTAGCACCTCCGTACTATACTAGTGCCCCACCTGTGTATTATTCGACTCCTGTATCCGTAAATTCCACTACTTGTACAAAGTCGCACACGTCTACTTCAGCGGCACTGTATTATCCCAGTGCCCCACCTGAGTATTCGCCAACAAACACTACCAGCTGCACAAAGACATATTCCTCAACCTCAACCAGCTGTACAAAATCGTCATCCAGCTCCACACCAGCATATGAAGCCCCAACCCCAACCGAGTATTCCTCTCCACCAGTCTACTCAACCACGAAATGCACCACCTCCAGCACCAGCTCAGTCCCATCATACGAGCACAACTATCCCCGCAACCCACACCCACCTGCCAATGCCATCTATGCTTCTCCCCCTGCCTACGTAAACGCCAGCGCCCCGTATAACACTACAGTATATGCCCCCACCGTTGCGCACACCACGCTTTCGGTCAAGGCAACCCAGGCAACCGTCACTCTGCCTGAGTACCCGATATCGACTTCGACTTCAACTTCGACAGCCAAGGCACATTACTCTACCCCATCCGTGTACTATTCTAAGCCAAAGGCAAACCTGACAACTGTGGAAACTCACCCCTACAAGAGCTCCTGAGCGGTTTGCAGTGTCCGGAGTGATGAGAGTGTGGTGAAAGGCGAGTGGACGGGGAAGTGAAGGAATTAATATGAATGGAAGTATATGATGGGATCTCAATAGTTGAAGAATTGTGAATGCACAGGGGTTTTCATTTTACGTCATTCTTAATCTGGGGTCGTATTTGTGCAATGAGTGAAGGTTCTGGTGGGGTTTCTTACAATTAGTCAAGTAGTGACATCGATTCTTTAGAAGTTGGGTGCGTCTTTTAGATGGTACATATATACATTCTTTCTAGGAACTTGGAGTGATTGCACGCATACTTTTTGAAGCTCAAATGAAAAGCCGTTCAAGTATCTCTCGGGGTTACAAGTATTTCGCGTATACAATTGATAAACGGAGTCATTAATAACGGCATTTATATGTCAAATCTTGGAGATGGGAATGATCTTCTTTGTATTCTATGTACATACAAACGCCCCCTCCTCCCCCACTCAATGGCATGGTTGTTGCAGGTGGAGATGACGATGTTTGCATCGTTGAAGACTTGCGGTGCCCGTTTCAGACCAGCCGTCGACCAGGCCCTCTTCTCCTTGAATGAAAGGCCTTCGCTTTTAACTGCCTTGTCCTTCAATTACAACCATCCCTGTGCCTCAGCAATCCCGTCCCGGGCCTTCTCCTCCACTAACTTGATCAGATGGGACCACAGCTTGTAATAACGTATCGGATCGTTGCCATCATCTTCAACAACAGTAGTTAAAAGATCCATGAGATCCTTATCAGCTTGTGCTCTGGTAGGCATAAACACGACCTTGAATCAAACACTTTACTTTACAATTAATATCTTGGACTTTATGCCCCCCGCAGGACTTAATGTACTAGTGTACTAGTGTACAGTAACACAATATCCGTCACGCGGCGCTGTATTCATAAGAATCTAGACGAGCAAGCCCTGATTTTTGGATCCCATGGAAGATCATATTCTATATTCGCAGCTATTGGATTTTCTTCTCATCCTTACCTAACGAACTCATGCGCAACCCCTCGATTCCTGACTCGTCACGAGGTGTAGAGAAAAACCCGATATCTGAAAGATTGTGTAAGGAAGAGTTTCGCGGCAGAGGCTTCTGTGACTGGGTTATTGAGACGCTTATAGCCTCGGGGCCATCCATCGTGCCGACTGCGTCGCAGTCCGGAAAAATCTCAGGAGCAAGACTGGTAATGAGTTCCGTGACTTCTCTCGAAAGCCCCGCCCGTTGTTTTTGCAGCTTTGAAAGCGTGTTTGTAGATGTAGGATTGAGACATAATACGAGCGGTCGAAGAGACTTGAGGATATCCATCCCCACCTCTCCGATCAGGAGTGCCGCGAACGTGATTGAGATAAACAAGGCGAGTTCGAGGATGATGAGGATCCAGATGGGGATTTTCTCAGCTATCCATTCCGGTGCATATCCTTGGATGCGGTTGTGATAGAACCAGTAGGTCAGAACAATGGTATAGAACGCGTAGAGAAGAGGGGCGAAGGCCACGGAAATAAGAACTTTCCATGAGGCCATCACATCATGTCCCTGGAGCTTAACCGTTGACACTTTTAAGTCTTGTCTGGATTTTCTATGGGAGTACACTTTCGACACGATAAAGACTGGCGCAAACAAAACTAGGCCAGGCACTGTGCCTATGGCAAGAATTGAGATCTTCCCCACGCGAAAGAAGAGGGTCGATACGACTTGCAAGATCGAGAATCGCGCGTACTCTACTTGGTGATCGTTGATTCCGAGAAGTCTGAGCTGTTCATTATACTTTTCGACGGACTCTTTGAGCTATTTCATTCTGGGATCGTTTTGGTATTGAGAGTAGCCTTTGACAAGCCGGCGGTTGATCTCCACGACTCTTGACAGGGGTAAACGTTTCCCAGTGGGGTTGTACAAACGTCTCACTGCTTGGGCAAGCTTTCAATTTGTCAGAAACGTCTCCATTAATTGAAGCAGAGGTTGCTCACCATAAGTGTTTCGTAGTCCGGAGATATAACTGTGACATTGACCAGCGACTGGTAGATCATTTCAAGCAACGTGCTAACAGCTTCCCGCCTCTTTCCAGTCTTGTATTGTTGGACAAGCTCGGGCGGAATCTCAATGGGGTTCCCAAACTCGATAACTGCCCGGGACCGAAATTTATGAGCATGGAAGTAATTCATGCCACAAGGTACAATCTTCAAATTGCAGTCTGGGTTTAAGGCAAGAGCACCAAGAGCCATCATGGCGACCCCAGCTTCCAACAAAAATCAGCTTTAGACGCTTCAAAGCCACGATTGGGAGGTTTGTGGAAAGTTGCCGCCAACTAAACTCACCTTTCAAAGGCAGTAAATCTGGACGGTCGTGACTGCCACCTTCAGGGAAAATGCCAATGCAACCACCAGCATCCAAGCGTTTAAAGACCGCATCATAGACCTTCGTCTGGTCGACATGAGGCGCGACTTTGAATATGCACCCCTCGAAATCATCATCTGGCCCACCACTCTCAAGGTTACGTTTGCCCGTGAGCTGAAGAATCGCATCCTGTCCTTCAAACGGAGTTTTCAAGACCAGCTCCTCTGCTCCACGAATTTCTTGAATTCTCGAGCTGTGAGTCTTCCCATTGATACTAGGCAAGCTAATAGTCCCGCCGACTTCAAAACCAGGACCATCGAACGCGGTACCTCTACCACGCAGCAACGTTGGTTGGGCTTGAGGATCCGGAAGATACACGGCTCCTCTCCCTTGCTCAAGATTATCCATGGATCTTGCTACCGGAAGTGCGCCAACTCCTTTGGACAGAGTGCCTATTACGGCACGTTTGAGGGATTTAGCTGCCATCAGAAGTGCAACACGCCGCCCCGCTTCTGCTCTGACGACGCGCATGAGGAAGAACGTGTCTACGAACTATTTGAATCCGGTAAGTAGATTCATCGCAATGGGAATTGTTTTCGATTTCTCTCCGGGGATGCCATCATTTAAAACTGCCAACTGCATCATCCGTCCTCACTGATCAAACTCGGTGTCTCGACCATCCATCACCATGACTAAAGGTAACAAGCAACGTACTTACTTGATTTGCATGCGGAGCAGCCACAAAAATAACAGCTCCATCCTTGGGAATTTTCCACGCTCCTCGCGGATAGACCTCCCTGAAGAAAATGTTTATCGGTATATCGAAGATCCTCAAAATGAGGTCGTAAATCCACCCATTAATGGGATCACTCTTCTCCTTTCCCGCCATGACTTTTGATGCATTGGTGGGAGCCTTATGCTTATATCTTGCGAATATAATTTTCAGAATTGTCTGCAAGAGAGTGTTGAGTAAGCGGTGATTTATGTTGAGGAAAGTCGTGGCGTACTAAGTAGTGGCTTTGCTAAGCGAATGCGAATGCGAAGTGGATAGGAGAGGCACAGTATGAAGAGTTTTGGACTTTGTACAAGCATTCACGGCTTGAAATCCAGATCTATATTTTACGATTCACCTAGGTGCTGCTATGGTGTAATCCAGAAGGTATGGCTTATTTTATTACATGGTCCAATGACTAGACAGCAATGCGCATGTCTGTTGGTGGACACAAAAAGCGGCACTCATTATCGGAAACAGATTTCAGTGTCCTACCCTGCTATAACCTCTAGAAGTGGTGCCGCTTTGAATGTCCACTTGAACAGGATGAGATGCTTCTTCATCAACAATGCCGTGGATGTTCTATCCTAATCTACCCATTTATAATTCACACCAGGATGTGCGTCGCGCAGTCTTGGCCCTTTTCCGTCTCCCAGATAGGATTCCCTCATAGACCCACCCACCTTTTCATAGCCGTCCCAAAATACACCTCTTTTTCTAAGCTCGGGCCACAGGTATTGAATCATATCTTCGAAGCCACCAGGAGATATGGCATACGAAAGATTGAAACCATCGACGCCAGCAACATCAATCCACTTTTGCAGTATGTCAGCTACAGTCTGAGGAGACCCGATTGCTCTTGGGTGCGCTCCTCCAATTGCAAGTTCTTGTAGAACCCGTCGACGAGTCCACTTCACGCCATCAGTGCCTGGTATAGTCGCTGACCACGTATTCACCATGGATTGGATTGCACCACTGCCGGTGAATTTGAAATCTTCATCCTCGCCATACTTGGATAAGTCATGATTTGTCCAGCCTCCGAAGAGCGCTGCAGCCCCTTCGAGGTCAGCATATTGAAGCAGATTTTGATACTTTGCCTGGGCTTTCTCATCCGTCTCATCTACGATCACGAGCATGCCAGCCAGGAACTTGATGCTGTCGTGTGCCCTGCCACAGCCGACGACTTGGGAGCTAGGTGGCTTTTAGTTGCTGTCACCAGTAAATGATCTTCGACATACCGGATCTGGTCCACCTCTTTTCGAACCTTCTCCGGTTCCAAGCCGGGAAGGAACATGGCTTCTGAATGCTTAGCGGCAAAGTTCTTTCCTGCACTGGAGGATAGAAAATCAGATTCAGGCTCATGCTGCTCAGGGATCGATGTGCAACCTACGGAGATGCACCAGCTTGAAGGATGAATGGTGTGCGCTGAACGGAAGGGTGGAGTTGGTGAGTTGCTGTGCACTTGAAGTATTTGCTAAATGGGCATTAGCTATGCAATTTGCTCTACCCGAACAAGCTGTCTATTACCCATCATGCTGGATCGCTCTGACTCTTTCTGGCAAGCTATAGGTGACAAATCAAAGTCGCTTGGTCAGTCATGATCTTCCGTTCAGGGAATTGGGAGGAGAAAATGCCCAATCAGCGGCATGTCGCCGATTGCTCAAATTATGTTTGATTCAAAGGGTCAGACAGAATTACGAACCTATACTTTTCCGAAACCGCATCCTTGACGCGCGAATCATCTTTCCAGCTTCCCTCGAGTAGCTTATAGACTACTTCCAGATACTCATCCGCTCTCGCATAGCGCTCATCGTGCGGTATCTGCTCACTCAGTCCAAAAGCTTTCGCTGCACTCTCCAGATAGGAGGTCACAACATTCCATCCAACGCGTCCATTGGTCAAGTGATCGAGAGTGGAGAATCTTCTTGCAGTCGCATACGGATTTTCATACGTTGTTGAAGCAGTAATGGCAAATGACAATGACTTTGTTGCTGCTGCCATTGCAGAAATAAGCAGGCTAGAAATTCCCTTTCAGCAACGATTTCCAAAGGCGTACGCACGTGCCAGGACTTACAATGGATCCCCAAGGGGGAATTGTGCGCCAGATTCCAGTGCTGGTGCGCTGTTACCAGGGCCTTTATATACATCATAGATGCCTAGATGATCAGCCAGAAAAAGGCCATGGAACTTTCCAGCTTCAAGTGTCTTTGCTAGATCCGTCCAGTATGTCAAATCAGTATAATCACCTGCTCGGTCTTCGGGGTGTTTCCATTGGCCTGATGGTTATTAGTAGCGGTACAACTGAAAATTGATGGTGCCTATGAAGCGTTGAATTGATAGTTACATACCCGGGGCAAGATGTCCAGGAGTGAACATCGCGAACGCGTTCATGATCCATTGTTTTTGAGGTCGCTCTTTAGCCATAATTTGCAAAACTCCTTTCGTTTGGGCAATTTGGCGGGACGTTTAATTGCTATGGCCCTTGTGTTCGTGAAAAGGATTTATCTTTCTTTCCTCAAGTATTGTAGGTGCCAGGAATCTTAGGACCCTTAGAAGACTAGTAATGGGACGAGAAGCTAATATCGCTGGAGAAACTCCGGAAGCAGAATTATCTGATTCATATGGTGGTTTGTATGGCAATCCCAGAAGTGGCACGGTTAGATTGAGGATTGCATCCCACTTTTAGAAGTTTGTGCCCAGGAGCATGGTTCCGCAAATCTGTATCTGGGGAAAAGGTCATTGTGATCCATAATGTCGTGCTTACTAGCGCCATGTCAGATCACAACATCTATGTCCTTTTGCCAATCATCAAAGACCTGTTCAGAGATTGTACCTTCAATATCTTCGCTTTTCATGTTTCTTGATTGGTTTAGTTTTCCTCCAATATTCTCAAAAGTTAAAACAGAGATGAAGTTTGCACCAATTCTTGGTCTCCCACTGACCTGACTTCATATTTCCCGCACAAAATGAAATTATACTATCCTCAGAGGCAGAGCTATAAAGGTAGCCATTGTCAAATTGCCGAGTATCTGATATAGTTCAAACAACATATATGGTTATGATAAGGTTTCAGATTGTAGGATCCATAAAACAGTGGAATACCAAAGATCCATGATTGCTTTCAGCCTCGCTATGCCCATTATAGCGGGAGCTGCATATGCAATCGTGGACCTGGGTGGATCTGGTAGATGATGTGATTCTATTGACCTGGATTGCAGCTTTATCGTACTTGTGAAGCTCCCGTGAAGGGCACGTAAAAAGGTTTATAAATTCTACGCCGGTAAACAAGATTTCAGAATCCTGAGTGTAACAAGTACCACTCCACCTTTTCCGTGAAATTCATCGCTTTGGATGACCCATTCTAGTTCTGAATAAGAACGAATTATTTCATCATGTCGAACCAAGCGATAGTTTTGCTTCCACAAGGTGCTGGCTATGGGGTGACAATTGGCCTCGGTTTGGTATTTGGTATTGGAATGATACTTGTATCTCGATTTCTGTCGAAATATATGAATGAGCGATCAGACCATTCGGAGATGTTAGTTTTCTGCTGTCTGTTGCATGAGAGCCTACTAATATGACATGTGAATTAGGTTCATGGTTGCCAATCGGTCGGTCAGGACGGGATTAACAGCGTCAGCTGTCATTTCATCTTGGATGTGGGCGTAAGTATTTCCCGAACTACTTCAGAGAAATATGAGGGCTTATTGTCAAACAGGACAGCCATCATCTGGACTGCAGCTCAGGGTTATCTATACGGGATTGCTGGTTTGTCCTGAATAACATTCTCACCCCTGGAGATAAGACAACTGACTTGGCTTTTCATTCTAGCCCCTTTCTGGTATGCAGCTGGTTGCACAATTCAAATCGCGCTCATGACAGTTCTGGCAATACATGCCAAAGCCAAGATCCCGTGAGTGCTACTTCTCGCCAGGAACCGATTATATATTGATTGATTGGGTAGCAATGGACACACCGTTTTGGAGATCATCAAACTTCGGTACGGCACCGCGGCGCATGGTGTTTTCATTTTCTTATGCCTAGTTACCAATATCCTCGCTGTCACATCCATGATACTAGGAGCATCTGGCGTGATCACCGCGCTCACCAGTATGCATGTTGTTGCCTCGACCTTCCTTCTCCCCTTAGGAGTTGTCATATATACGGTTGCGGGAGGTCTCAAAGCAACATTTCTGACTGACTATATGTAAGTCCACTTGATGCAGAAGCCCCAATAATTTACGCGCTTTGGCTAACGATGGAGAAAGACACACGGCTGTTGTTATGGTTCTCTTGTGCTTCCTAACGATTCGAACTTTCAACAACCCCGCTATCACAGGCCTGGGATCCTTCTATGATGTACTGGTCAAACGCGACGAGACAAGATCGATTAGCGGGAACTATCGTGGCTCTGCTCTGACCTTCAAGTCGAAGGGCGCAGTCATCTTTGGGCTCGTACACTCACTTGGTGATTTTGCGCTGGTGATCATGGATACAAGCTTCTGGCAAAAGGGTGTGTGAACTCGACCTTCATAATGTTCCATGCCGAAGCAACCTCTGCTGATAGGAAACATAGGATTTGCTGCAGATACAGGGGCTGCTATGGTTAGTCTTTCTCGCCAAACGCCCCTTCTCCCTTCTTTTTTGGTCAAAGTCGGCTAACACTTAAATCAGCCAGGCTACATGCTTGGTGGTATAGCTTATTTCGCAGTTCCTTGGGCTGTAAGTCCTTCACTAATATCTTTGCTACTCGACCAGCTGACACGAACTTTCAGGTCGGCACGACGGCAGGATTAGCAGCGATTGGATTGGAAAGTAGCTCGATATTCCCAACATATCCAAGGGTAAGTATCGCCCATCTGCTAGTCAATGCATTTGCTGACTGGCCTAGTTAATGACAACAGCTGAGATAAACGCTGGCTATGTCCTCCCATATACTTGCATGGCTGTTGCTGGCAAAGGAGGGGCTTTTGCTCTTCTTCTCGTTGTATTCATGTGTGTCACCAGCACCGTGTCCGCACAATTAATCGCAGTTTCGAGTATCTCTTCCTTCGACATCTACAGAACCTATATCAACCCACATGCCTCGGACAAACAGATTATCAGGGTTTCTCACTGGTCGGTGCTTGGTTTTGGCATCTTCGCTCCTGCGTTTGCTACGGCTTTGCATTATGGAGGGATCGATTTGAACTGGATGGGTTACTTCTTAGCAACTATCATCTGCCCCGGCATGTTCCCGATGGCGTTCACTATTTTGTGGAAAAAGCAATCAAAAGCTGCTGTCATAATAGCTCCTCTTGCAGGACTGGTGAGCTTCAAACTACCTCGTCAACTTCAGTAAAAGGACTAACGCGCAAAAGGCAAGTGGGATTGCGGTTTGGATTGGCACCGCTTATGTCTACTCCGGCGGCATCACAGTCCTATCCCTTGAAGGCCAACTGCCTTGTCTATGGGGCGCCTTAACATCCACGTTTTCCTCGGCAATCTACTCCATCGTAATCACATACATCAAGGTGACCGCTCTTACTCCCCACGTCTCCAAAACATCATACTTACAATGCCCACTAGCCCCAAGACTTTGACTGGCGCGTCTTTCTCCTTCTCAACGAGGTGCACGAAGACAAAATATCAACAGCATCAAACTCAACACCAAGCAAAGAGGGAGGCACAGATGCCGTGAGAAACATCCGCGACCTTGACAGTGTAGTTCACCCTTTCCCACAAGCTGAGATCAGCCGCTTGAAACGGGCCGGTGGAATTGCCAGCATTTTCAGCGTGGTGATTGGGCTCTTAACGTGGGTTGTGTGGCCTTTACCCCTATACCGGAATTACATATTTACCAAACCTGTAAGATGTCCCCCATCAGCTAAAAGGAGTCAGCTCACACTAATGCACCTTTGCAGTTCTTTATGGGATGGACTGTAGTCTCAGAAATATGGCTCTTTTTTTGCCTTGTTGTTGCTGTCGTGTATCCGCTTGTCGATGGCCGTGATGTTCTTGCGAAGGCTGGTCGGTTGGCTTGGGGCGCTATCACGGGCACAGGGAAAGAGGGAAAGGAACAAAAACCTAGTTCCTCGACTAGTACCCCGGAGTCGCTCATGTCAGATCTCGCCAATGAGGGCAGTGTTAGCCATGAGAAATAGAAGTTTTGGAATTGCTCTTCGGAGAAGAGCATGAGGGGTTAGGCTGGTAAAGTCTTTATATAGAAAGACCTCCTCTACTATAAGAGCAAATCACTTCTATATACGCCACGCTAGAAGTCCTATACTAAAGTAGATAAATGCAACCTGCTACGCTATGTCACAGGCCGGTAACATGTGACCTAAGGCACATGTTCATACCACCTTCCGCCATTCAAAGGCGCTACGCCATTGAGGTTATCCCCACTTCAGATGAATACCCCTTTTACAAGTCAGGTCATAAGTCATACTTAACTTCCCTATTCAACCTCCAGAAGCACTGTTTACCGAAGACAGATATCCTGGTTTGATGGTGTCTGTAGGGTGTGGTCATCTGTGAGAGTGATATGGAAACAAGCCAAGCCCAAGTTGTTTGAATCCAATTTGAACTCGGTATTAACCTAGTCTAGAGGGCCATACGTTCAAAAGCCCCAACCTAGCTACGTTTCGCATCATACCAGCCCTCAGAAGCCACATCGCCCCTGATACCCCATACTTCCTCAGCGTCCCCCAAAATGCCCCCAAACTCAATCTCCACAACCCTCATCTCCTCTTCAGGCCCCAGCTTTGCAATCGCGCCCTTAAATGGTAGCGTCACCTGGCTACCACCAAAATTGCCCTCCGTCTCCGGCCCACCTACATTACAAAACACAACACAGGCATTATTCTCAAACGCCCTCGCACAGATAACCGAATCGATAAACGTCGTCTCACTCAGCGGATTATGCTTCAGACCCGCCGGGCCGCAATCACTGGATCGCCATTGCGTGGGAATTACAATCATGCGAGCTCCTTGCTTGATGAGCATCCGAAATGCTTCGGGGAAGGCAAGGTCCCAGCAGATCAGCAGGCCGAGTTTGCCGAATTCGGGGGTGTCGATGACGCGATGGACGTCTCCCTTGGAGAAGGCAAGGCGCTCGTCAACCCAGAGGTTAACCTTACGGTAGGAGAGGAGGATGGCGCCGGCGCGGGAGATGTAGTAAGTGGTGTTGTAGTACGAGGTTTTGCCATGGCCCGATTTCTCGGCTTCACAAATGCTTCCGGGAATTATGTTGATCGAGTGTTCCTGCAACACAATGAATGAGTCAAGAAATATGGTAGTGGAGTCGCTTAGGCTTACCTCTGCTAGGGCTTGGAAATGAGAAATTGCTTCTGCGCATTGCGTTGCATATTCATCTTTGGCTTTCGGAGTTGTTGGGGTCCAGCCTAGGAACATTTCTGGGAGTACGGCAAGGTCTGCATTCTCTCGTGCTGCCCTTATGATGAGCTCTGTTGCCTTTCGCAGTTGGAGCGTGGGTGTTGTTTCCGTTTGGATGGGGATCTGAATGAGTGCTACTCGAGGGATGGGCAAGGGGGATGCCATCTCAACAAATAAGTTTCAGTCCAACGATTGAGACTTATCAAGTTGGGTAGAGTTTCAGTTCCTGAGACGTAGCCCTGGACTCGCTTCTCCCCGCAATATGAAATACCCCACTACTTTATCGGCAAAATTCAGGGGTGGTATTTATATGTCCACTTGGGCGTGAATAAGCCTTATCTTGTCCCGCCACTTTTGGAGGTAGCCATAGAAGTAATGATACTCCTCCACTCCTGCTCGAATCATGATAAGAGGCCATCCAAAGAAGTCATGATAAGGATGTGCAATAGATAAACAGAAGCTCCCCCGATGCTGACCGGTGATGTCTCTCTGGGACGGCTCATCCTAATACCAACGACATATATAATCTTTGAGCCTCTATCAATTATCCCACAATAATTATGGCCAACCCCGTCATTCAAGAGACCGACACGGTCGACCACGCGGAAACCCCCTCCACAGTTGAGAAAGGTGGCGATACCAAAATCAAGGCCACCGGCTCACCCGAAGAGGAATTCGAGATTGGAGCCTCAGAGAAATTGATCGGGAATGCCACAGCTCAAGAGCTGGAAGCGATCGGAAATGGACTCGATCTAGCATATGCGGAGAAGGCATCTCTGGTTGGGAACGCTCTGCAAAATATCGGGATGAACGCTTGGCAGTATAAGATGTGGGCTGTGTGTGGGCTTGGATGGATTGTGGATAATGTGAGTGAAGTGTGTTTTGATCAGGAGAAAGGGGCTGATAGAAGCCTGCTCAGATTGCAGCATATGGACCTAGCGTCACATATACCCCCGTGGCGAATGAGTTCGTCATCAAGAATGTCGCACTGACGGGCATTGCATACAACCTAGGGGCGTTCATAGGTGCTATGTTCTGGTAAGAAATAAAAGAAACTCAAATTTTCTCCTGCAATGTGAAAGAGAAGGTCATCTGACCGTTCCTAGGGGCCCCATGGCAGATATAATCGGTCGCCGCCTCGCGTTCAACACAACCCTCTTCATTGTAGGAATCTTTCTCATTGCCGCCGGTGGTAGTAACAATATCTACACCTATGGCGGCCTCATGTCCGTTGTCGGTTTCGGGTCGGGTGGCAATGTTCCTGTCGCAGCAACCGTCTACTTGGAATTCGTACCCTCGAGCGGGTTCTACCTACTCACCATGCTGAGCGCATGGTGGGCCATCGGCGCGGTACTTGATGCACTCATTGCTTGGGCCTTTGTCGGAAACTTCAGCTGCGACTTGACTGTCACCACCATCTGCGCCAAAGCCGACAACATGGGTTGGCGTTACACGCTGTTCACATTGGGTGCGCTCGTCATTGTACTGGCGCTCATTCGGCTCTTCGTTTTCCGCATCCCTGAGTCTCCCTACTTCCTACTTTCCCGAGGCCGTGATGCCGAAGTTGTGGAAGTAGTCCAATACCTGGCCAGCCAATCTCGCAAACCCATATCCCTCACCCTCGACGACTTCCGCCGCATCAACAACGCCCACGGCCGGCCCACCAATGACAGCACTGTGAAGCCACTTCTTAAAGACATCCTAGGTGCTCATTTCGGCTCTATGTCTACCTCGCGCCTCCGGGTTCTTTGGGGATCCAAGAAACTCGCCCTCCACACCTCGTTCATTGTCTGGATCTGGGCAGCTATCGGCGTTGGATATCCTTTGTACACCTACTTCTTACCGCTATACCTCGAGGCGAAATTCAAAGCCATCAGTAACGACAACTCCCAAGCCGATACGTATAAGCAGTACTGTTACATCGCAGCTTGTACCGTCCCCGGTCCGATTGCTGCGTCGTTCGCGATTGAGACGAGGCTGGGAAGGAGGTATTGCATGGCGATCTCAACAATTCTATCTGGCGTATTGCTGTACCTCAGCACAATCGCATCGACGAATGGGGGCGTAGTGGGGTTCAACTGCGCTGCGACTGCGGTGATCAATTTCATGTTTGCCATTCAAGTCAGTCCCTTCCTCTCCCCAGAGGATACATAACAATGCTAACGAGTTTCAGTATGCCTATACACCCGAATCCTTCCCTTCACCCATCCGTGCAACTGCCAATGGGCTTTGTTCCATGATTGGCTACGTGTGCGGACTCGCAGCACCCGTAATCTCGTCCCAAACAGGCGTGTCGACTAATGTTCCGGTATATGTCAGCGGCGCGCTGTTTTTGGTAACGGGGATCCTTATGTTTGCTTTGCCGTTTGAGACAAATCCTAGCATGGCAGGATATTAGACGATGCGAATGGTGGAGGAGTTTGTGAGAATCAGAGGCTGGTCTTCGAAAATAAGTAGATGTGAAAGGCATATGCCTAGACTTAGCTCTATACGTTAGGGACATTTATAAAGCTCTTCGCTTTCGCGTGTTTTCAACGACAAAGCTTCAATATGTATCCTTATCTCATATGCTAGCGTTATGCTATAATCCGATCATCCGCTGTGATCTTTCAAATTCAGATGTGCTCAGACCTTCAACTTATAGAACCGTGACTCTCTACTCCCAACCAAGCTCCGTTGCGCTGATGTAGTCTGGCATACTTTCCCAAGGCGGCGCCTCATGAATCTCCTGCATTATTGGTGCCTCATTATAAAACCCATCAAAGCCTCCACAAATGCCAAATCCAAGATCATCCGCGAACTCCATTCCAAATGCAGAATAGCTAAATTCATCATTTTGAAGAGTAGATATCGTCTGAGAGGTCCCGAACTCGGTGTCAGAGAGCGATGACACGACAGACGGCGTTTCGTGGTGCTCGGAGCTTAGATTATGAACTTGCAACTGCAGTCCGTGGCATGCGCGATCTGCTAGTTTCCAAGTATGGGACATCTCGACCAGGGCTGTTTGAAAATTAGGGAGGGCTGTCTCTTGAAAATCTCTCGGATCGCGAGCTTGATGGTGGAGAATGGCAAATATGGCGTCTGCCGCTCTGATGCAGCCATATACAAAAATTAGTGGAGCATTCCTGAGCGTATGTTGAGTTTTGAATCGGTGGATTATGGACATTATTATGTCGATGGATGTATCACATATGTTCAGACAATCGGAAGATTGAGTGAGATCGAGACTCAGGCCCAGAAATGGTCGATTGAGCGCGATTCTTGTCGTGTGGTACAGCATACTGCTTTCTGTTAATGGGGAACTTCAAGTGAAGCAGACGACTTACTGAAGAGCTGCGATACTAGGTTGTACAAAATCAGACCGTGAACCCCATCTATCCCAACGGTGACCAGGCAATAGAGATTCATGCCATCCCAGAAGTCTTGCATTCAGTCGAATTACTGGTGCATCTATACGTCTTCTAGAAACCCGAAGTGGTTTAATCTTTGAAGAGAGTCGTTGCGATAAAATCTCTTGAATGACGACAGAAAGTTCCAGATTCTGCTTTTCCAAGATTGTGTCTACGTCAGGATTGATTGTTGCTTGTTTTATGTTTGAGGGCATCCAGTTTTCGGTCCGTTTTCTACCTGGGCATTAGTATTATAGCTGGGTTGGAAAGTGTGTACGAACATGTTGGCGTTGGAGAGTATCACGTTACTTTCAAGCATTGCCGCAGGCCGTCCCAGTGTTAGGCTCAGCATCCTAGTATAATTTTAGCCGCGGAATGGGATAAACAAACGTTACAGGGTGGACTTATCGGATATGTAGCAGGTCAGATACATACTTCGCCTGAATGTTGTATTCAGAGAAGTACTCATATTACCTTCAATAGTTGCTGTGTCTTGGTGAGGGAACTCTAAATCTTGAGCCATGCGGATGGCCATGCCTGCTGTCTGTTAACTTATTTCCAGACTGAGAGGATCAAAACTGGTACCTGATAGAGCCCATGCTTTGGATGGATGATCATGGCCACTTTCATATTGCGCACAACAGAGTAAGGCCTGAACGAGTAGAGCATCAGGTTGGAACAAAGATCCAAGAATTATATTCTGTGCAGATTTTGAGAAGACGTCTGCCATCTGCTTGATTTCCAAATCAAGAGACATCAAAGCTCCAAGTGCACAAGCTGCGTAAACCAGAGGTTCCATTGCCCGTTTCTCACCACGCGTGGCATGTGGGTACTTTCGCATGAATAGTTCTCGATCTATGAACATACAATGTGGATTCTGCCATTGAAAATAGAGATCAAGACATTTGCCGATAAGAGCTTCTCCAAACTCTGTGCTTGTTGAATTGGTAATTTCGGATGTTCGATGACTAAATTCAGCTACTTGTGAGGGTCGCATTGTATTGGTGGTATAGATACTGTTTACACCTGGGATGTTCGATAAACCTTGTGTCGCATGTCAGTTGTGTCACAAAGGCCGAGAAAACTTCACTACCTTCTTCAGTATCCTTCGATAGTTCTGTTGACGCTTCCGAGATGTCGGAAACAGGCGTTGCCACTTCAGACTTCCTCATTGATGGGAAATGGTCGACAAAGTCTAGTTCGTCAACCAAAGCGTCTCTTTCTACGCCGGACGCCGCCTTCAATTTGCAGAGAGTAGACTCTAGTTGTGCAATCCGCGTCTCGAGCGCCTCAACATATTCTCGACGGATGGGCGCTCTTTTTGAATCGTCCCCTCGATACTCGCATTTTGTACTTGCAGCTATGCATCTGTGGCAAGGGGAGGTTCGCGAGCACTTGATCTGTGATTCTTAGCACAAGGAGTTACCGTGGTTTGAATTGCATTGCATTTATGGACTTGCCTTGCGGTTCTGGCAACGTTTGCAGCTGGTGTTTGTTAGCAGTGCATGAAATGGCAAATAGTGGTCCCTTACGATATCTTCCTAACATTTGAATGAGACATTATAGGTTCTATGGAAGATACAAGTGTTAAATTCGAGTCTGTTGACAGTTGCTCGAAATCAAGATCAAACTTTCTCGTTCGACGTTTGAGAATATCGTATAGAAGCACGTCATTTGGTTCGGGTTCGGGGTTCCTGTCCGCTTCTTATCTGCAAGCGAGCAGTTGTATGGGGCATCCCGTGATGTGTTTTACATAATCATAGGGGCTGAACGGTTCCGGCTCAATTCACAATATGTCACCAATTTTCGTGTTCAACAAAGATTTAATTGATATTCATGTTCTAGTCACGAGGAGAGTTTAAAGCCGAGTTGTCTGTCCGTTCCTGTAGTTCGCCTCCTTCCGCCTCCTTTTTCATTTTCTATTGAGATTTCCACCTCTGGCAAAGAATGCAGAGATGAATGCAATCGCTCCCACCGCAGTACTAGCCTGGAAAGAATAGACCAAAGCGTTGTAGTAAACGTGCCGTGCAATTGACTGTATTTCCACTGGAAGTGTATCCAAAACCGTGACCGAGTGACGGATTTCGTCAATTATCTACGGCTTCCGTCAGTCCTTCACGTCATCTAGGCCCAGAAGTCAAAGCTTACCTGTTCCTTGTTTGTCACCCCGGATAATGCTAGCGGGAGCTGCGACGAGAGAACATTCTGAATGATGGCTGATGAGGCTGCTACTCCCCAAACAGTGCCTAGGGAGCGGGAAAGATATACTATTGAGGTTGAGACAGCTTGTTCTGTGAATAATTAAGTTAGAACAGGGAGACGTAGATGAGTTGTAGTTTCATAGTAGGTAATCAACTTACGGCTATGATCAAAAGCAGCCAGGAATGTGAACAGAATACCAGGATAAGCCATTCCCTGGCCCAAGTTTGCTGGTATCAGGTAGAGCAGATACTTCCATCTTGCACTCTCGGTATATTGCAAGGATGCCACGAGACCATTGCCCAGCATCATGAGGAAACAGCCCATCCTTACCAGCCAACTGAGCTTTCCTACACGCGACATAACAATACCAGCGATAAGACCACCAACAGGAGTTGCAAGTGATGGGACGACCAGCCGCAATCCAGCTTGTGAGGGTGAATCTTTGAGAACTACTTGAAAGAACAGAGGTATCATGAAGAGAAACTAGACTGTATTAGTTATAAATCTGGTTGGGCAATCGGCGCTATATGAGGAAGTCCCTTACAGAATACGCTGCCATTCCAACACAAATATTACTTATGAGATTCGAGACTGCGAGTTGCCCCTTGAGCATCGACATAGGCATAACAGGAATTGCATGTGTGCGGATCTCGACCATCACAAACAATGCTAATAGCACTGCACTGATGATCAGTGAAATGATGACACGAATATCGGTCCAAGTATAGTTGTTGCCACCCATGCTCAGGGCTGCCAATTGCGCAGATAGACCCAGAATGAGCAGAATCGCACCGCTAAGATCAATCTGTTTCCAGAGTGAAACCTTCACTATCGGTTCTGGCTCCTGACTCTGTACGACGACCACGTCGAGCGTTCTCTTGTCATCGATCACATAATGTCCCACAACAAACGCAAAGATGGAGACAGGGACTTGGCATAGGAAACACCACCTCCATCCAACAGTGTCTGCGATCCAGCCTCCCATCGAAGCTCCGCAAATGGACCCGAAGCCATGAAGCACGTTCTGGCAAGCCTGGTACATTCCACGCTCTTTGAACGGTATCATATCCGAATTAATGATTGTAGCCATTGTCATGAGACCACCTCCTCCAAGGCCAGTGAGAGCTCGCATTAAGTTCAATGAAACTACATCCGGGGCCAATCCACACCCTAAGCATCCTAGAAGGAAAGTAACGGTTGCCGTAAAGAAACAAATGCGTCGTCCTAGAATATCAGAAAACCGACCATAGAGGGGTTGAAAGGCAGTCGATGTAATGAGGTAGGAAGTTGTTAGCCAGGAGATTGTGTTCGCAGCGTTGAATTCAGAACCGATTACGGCATATGTCGAGGCAGTGATAGTACCATCGAATCCGGACAAGAAAACGTTTGAGAAAATGGCTAAATGGTGATTAGTATTCTGTCATGCTTAAAGATTCCCTCAACTCACCAATCTCTATCCACAGAAAACTCGACGGAGGGACCCATGATGCTTCAGGACTCTTGTAATTGATTTGACCAGGAGGTTCAAGTAGAGGTGTTGCCTCGGTGTGTTCGTTTGCTGGTTCTACAGATATTTGCTGCCCACCTTCACCATGTTGGGCGGGAAAGGATTCCATACTTTCGAACTATGCCAGTAATAACGGACAGTTTCAGAACCAAGAGCAAAGACGTTTGTAGAATTGATTAAATGGTTTGAATAAACGCTTCGAGGAAAAACTGCGTGGAAATTGACTAAGAGAAGTGCGGCTAACAATGCTGTGAGAAGGAACCAAGGTTGACAAATATCTTTACGCAGGCCGAAAAACTTCTCAAGGGCGGGAATCTAGCGTCAAAGCAGTCATTGGTCTTTTCGACTTGCATCAACGGGGATTAAGTCCGCTACTGACCCTGGCGACCTCTACCGGAGACGAAGCCCGACAAGAAAATAACCATGTAAGACTTGACCCTTTGTGGGCATGGAGAGCCACATTATGAAGTCCATATGCCGTTTGACTGACGATCCACATGTCGGGTTGAGTAAGGTAGACAAACTGGTGAAAATGGTGGGGTCTCTTGATCGCTGCCCCGCTATTAGGCGAGTTACCACACCATGCCCCTGAGCGGGCTTTGTGTCCGTTTGTTTTGATATCATACCTGTGATGGAACAAATTTTCAATCATTTGCTCACCATATTGCGTGCGAACGACCTATGTATACCAATGGCAGGTAGGCCATATAAGCAAGATCTCTGCCCACTAAGTTCCAAGGCACACCAGCACCTCTTCCTCATTCATCAACCTTTCCCAAATGGTTTCCGTCACAGCATGTGGCCACCTGGCCGGCCTTGCGGCTTTGATTCTGTCATGTCTCCCTTGTGCTACCGCTGATTGGAGGTATAAGTCACGTCCAGATCTGGCTCCACCAACTCTGAACATTACGATACCAGCAACAAAAGACGTCGAGTCCGGCTATCTTTTTGTCGCTCCATTCGCCGGCTACCCAGAGGGAACTCGACACGGACCTTTGCAAGCAGCCCCGTACATCTTCACAGACACTGGTGAGCTCGTTTGGTCAGGATTTACTTACTTCTCAATTTGGGCAACGAACTTCCAGGCCTCTCGCTACAAGGGTCAAGATATCCTGTTCTCTTTTGAGGGCAGCCACAATGCTGCTTATGGGCATGGCCACGGCCACACAACTTTCTTGGACCAGAACTACGAGACCGTACTAGAACTGCGAGCTGGCAATCATCGACTGACTGATAAACACGAGTTCCTTATCATCAACGAGGAGACTGCTCTGATTCAAATCTACCATCCTGTCCCTTGGAACTTGACAGCTTATGGCGCCAGCCCTGAGCAGCAATGGATTGTTGATTCCATATTCCAAGGTTAGCAGGCATCCGACCACTTGATGATGCAAGAATTAACACGTGTAGAACTCGATATTGAGACTGGTAAAGTTCTCTACGAATGGAGCAGTCTTGACCACGTTGACCCGTCTGGTATTTGGGACCGTCATCAAGCAAATAATCATAGCTGACATGAAACAGAGGGTTATCTTCCCCTAAACCCTGGACAAGCTGGAGCTGGGTACAATAGCTCTGATGCCTGGGACTACTTCCACATCAACTCAGTTGACAAGGACGCTGAGGGCAACTATCTCATCTCGGCCCGTGACGCTAACGCCGCCTACAAGATCAACGGCAGGACCGGCGAGATTATATGGCAACTTTCTGGAAAGTCTAGCTCTTTCAAGATGGGTCCAGAAGTTGAGTTCGCATTCCAGCACCATGCCCGCTTTGTTGCCAAGGAAGGTGATAAAGAAATCATTAGTATCTATGACAACTCTGCACATGGTACAGAAGATGGAAGGGGCCACGAAGTTCACTTCTACAAACATTCCCGAGGAAAGATTATCGAAGTTAACACTAAAACTTGGGAAGCAACCATTGTTCAGGTACATATCTACACCGCTTGTATCACAGATAAACTGACTGCTTCAGGCATTCCACCCACCCGATGGACTTCTATCAAAGTCTCAAGGATCAACTCAACTCCTTCCAAACGGGAACGTCATGGTCAACTGGGGATCTGAAGGAGCCATGACTGAATTCAAAGCCGACGGAACCCCAATCTTCCACACATACATGGACTCTGGATTTCTCGGACTTGGCGTAGAGAACTACCGGGGTTTCCGGTACAACTGGACCGGCATTCCCCATGAAGCTCCAGCTATTGTGGCTCTGAAAGACGAGAAGAGCTCCAGTACCAGTGTCTATGTCTCATGGAATGGAGACACGCGTACCAAGATCTGGCGATTCTACGATGTCAGCGACACTGGCCGTTCTTTCTTGGGAGAGTCGAAGCGTGAAGGGTTTGAGACTGTTCTTGAGCTTGACCAGGGCATTGCTGTGAATAATGTCCAAGCTGAGGCTTTGGATGCAGAGGGAACTGTTCTTATTGATACTGCGGCTGTGAAACCCGATGTTTTGATTCATCAATACCAGGGCAAAAAGGCTTCCAAACAGTCACATTCCAGTGTTGCGGCGTGTTTCATGTTCAAAGGGCAAAAAGCTTTCAAGCAAGGACTTTAGGTTGGCAAGAATTGTACAGTAAGAGTGGAGTACGGAATATGGTTGGTGGGTGAATGTAAGAATCAATGAAGTCATTGCAGCCTGGTATCGGGCCCTTACAAATTGGCAACCATGAAACGAACATTCCTCAAATCAATACCAGTAGTATCTGCTTCGAGATCTCTGGCTCGATTTGAAAATCGACCTACTGTATCTATATGAAGAACTTCCGCCATGTCATGTGATATAAAATATATCAACGCTGGATAATCTGATCGTTCCCGAGAGTGTTAAATGATCCAATTCCATTTCTGGTAGTCCCTTACTTTTTCTCGCCAATTAAAGGCGGTCCTAGGAGACACGGGTAGAGGGTAATCCGACTGCTTACACTGGCAATCATCCCCCTTCTTGCTGGTCAATATAATCTTAAGCCAAGTTAGAACTACCTAGGTATATAAAGGCAAAAAGTGGCCCTGTGTGCAGCCAACAAAATCGGCCGTCCCCTTCCTAGGGAAATGCTTCTGCGTGACAAACTTCCGATCTTTCACTTCCGGCTCTCATTTCTTCTCTCGTTGCGCTCTATAGTAAAAGGCGAATTGAGTGTCGCTAATTTCACCGTTCAGTAACCATTTCTTTTTACATACATTTAAACTTTGCTAGCTTGCATCAAAACAAGCTTGAATCCATGTATTCATCTTGGAGATCAAAGATCTACTTGCAAATCTTCGAAGGAAGAAAATTGGAAATATGCGATATAGTTAAGTCTTACAAGCAGGCTCCACTTCCAGACACTTATGGCTGTGTACCCCTCCCGGTTTGTACCCAAGGTACCGCTGCTAATTGTAGAGCGAGAGAGCAGAGGCAGAATTGGCGCCCCATTCCCCTATCCTTTCTTCCTCCTTTTCCAATCCGCCAAAATCAGCGCTTTCGTGTCAGCCACCATAGCGTCTCGCATGTATGCTGCACAGCATATTTTGATCAAAACTTTACTATCCCTTTAATCGCTATCTGGTACTTTTACCGTCCTTACCCTATAGGAATAGGAAGTAGCCTAAGCAAAGCCCACTGTCATGGGTTTTTAGGGACTGTTAAGCCTGTGCTGCAAATCATTCGTAGAGGCCAAAGAAGCATCGCGTTCTCAGCCAAGTTACACCTAATTTAGATGTACAAAGGTGTAGGAGACAGACATAGTATAGGTGTACGATTTGTAAAGTCTTGTTATGTAAGGAAGGCCTATGTCTTGATACATATCATGAAAATACACCGAATTCTTCTTAATTTAAGCGATCTCATTGGTAGAAAACCCATGTAACGCTAAAATTATCGAGCGAGTAGCAATTAAAGGGATGTGAGGGTGGTAATCGTCTGGTTGGACTAAATGGGCATAGCACGCCCCACCAGCCCTTCATTGATAATTCAGTTTATTTTATATAACACTATAGAAAAATGCGAAAAATGCTTTCTATTCCTATAATATTAATTCTTATATAATAATCTATTTAGATTAGATGGATTCTATTTTAAATGTAGAGCTGGGGAGGTATATTGTAGACCCGCTTTTAATTACTATGTAAAAAAAGAACTGAATTATCGCTGCTCCAGACCAGAGTGGTAATGAATGGTCTGGTGGGGCGTGCTATGCCCATCTAGTTCCCACCAGACGTTTTCAGCGAACCACTAACAATTGAAAATAACGTGACAGTCTATTTTTAGCCACCAACATCTTGAGCTGAAGCAGCAGAGCGACGACTGTACGCTCTCCCTTAGATCTAAGTCAGTATCAGAGAAGCAACTACGGCTGATCTTCTACGCTCACATCTTCATATCTTCATATCCTCAACAGCCTCGTGTAAAAACTCCTAGTGAGAGCACACGTCCAATTGCCTGTTCTAAATCGCTCGCCCTCTTCGAACCCCCTCTTTGCACAACCAAATCATGTCAGGCGCCGAGGCTATAGCTGTCCTAGGGGTGATCTCCTCAATCATATCTATCGTCGATAGGACTAAGCAACTCTACGATGCCGCAACGAATGCACAAGGCCTCCCCGAAGCATTTCGCGAGGTTGCTGCTCGACTTCCAATCGTTCAAAATGTCCTAGCCGCAGCGAAACGACAGATTGAGAAGGGGGGTATAGACGAGGACTCCTACAAGGGAGTGAAGGACATTGTCGAACGCTGTAGGAACAAGGCCGAGAAATTGGAAGAGCTCTTTAAGGAAGTCATGCCTGCGAATAGTGCCTCTAGAGCGGAACGGTACCTTCTAGCGGCTAAGACCCTCGGTAAAGGAAGTAGAGTGGAAGCCCTGATGAAAGGAATGCTAGAGGATGTACAGATGTTGGCTATCAACTATGGCCTAACTGCTGTCACCGATATTCAACGGAAAGATCTAGCCGATGCCATTAGAGAACTAGCAGCTTTACCACCTTCTATACCAGAGCATGCGATTGAAGGAACTGGCTTCACTGCCATTCATTCTGGCTCTGGTTCGATCAATCAAGCTCAGAGGGACCTATACTCTGGCAGCGGCCCCGTCTACCATGCACAATCTATGAACTTTGGTTCTCGGGGTAAGAATGCAACCTAGCTAGGCAATATAGCTTCCGTGTTTTAATGATCTCATTTATTGCCTCTCCTCAACATTGAATCTTTACATTTGATAGGATGATGCTAAGTGATATGGTTTTAGTAGGCAAGAAAGATGACGAAACAGAATCCTGCTTGAGGGCGCTATTCTTAACCGACCCAAGGGACGACCGAGAGAAGCTTGTGCAGATAAAGGGTTCAATAGTCGAAGGCACCTGCGAATGGATTAAGGGTAATGCTCTCTACAGCTCATGGCTTGGGTTTTACTCACAACTACTCTGGCTGTCCGGCGGTCCTGGGAAAGGCAAAACTATGCTCTCGATCTTCCTTGCGGAAGAGCTTGAGCGAATCGCGCACAAGACGCAAGACACATTGTTCCTACAATACTTCTGTGACAACAAAGACGAAAAGCGCAATACCGCTATTGCTATCATCAGAGGACTGATTTTCCAGCTCGTGCAGTTTCGCCCAAAACTTGTCGATTATCTCCTACCAAGTTTCAAAATCCAAAGGGAAGCTCTGTTTACTGGCTCGTCGTCCGAAACACTCTGGAGATGCTTGGAGACCATGCTTCGTACCTATGCCCCAGGTATCATATATTGCATTCTTGATGGTCTTGATGAATGCGACTCTGCTTCGTTAGAAACCCTTCTAGGGAAACTTACGGGTCTCTTTTCTACTTCGACCTATCATCTTAAACTGATCGTTGTTAGCCGTGATTATCCAGACCTCATTCCAGAGATACTGTCAAATTTCCCTCGGATACGACTAGACCCAGATGCAGATAAGAAAGTTAATGGCGATATTCATCGATTCATTGAGACCAGGATTGACGAGCTTTCTATACAAAAACAATATCCAAAGCCATTACAAGAACGGGTAAAAAGGGTTTTTCGAGATCATGCACAAGGCACGTTCCTCTGGGTAGGAATTGTAGCTCGACAGCTACGGAAATACAAGATAACAGAAGTTGAAAAGGCTCTAAATCTTTTCCCAGCAGATCTAAAAGAGCTATACGCTCGGATGCTACTACAAATTAATCTTGATCGACGAGATACCGCTGCGAGAATACTTCGTTGGGTTGTTATGGCCATTCGCCCCTTGACTATCGCAGAACTAAGTGTTGCAATTAACGTCGACTCTTCTATGAGCTTTAGCCCGGATATAATAATAAGAGATCAGATTTCCTATTGCGGGGACCTTCTAACGATTAAACAAGACGAAGTTAGCCTTATTCATCAATCAACAAAGGATTATCTTCTACGAAAAACTCCAGATCCAAATCCCGAGCTCGAGTTCTTCCGTGTCAAAGAAAAGGTTGGAAATCTTGAAATTGTAAGAAAGAGCTTGGATTACCTACAAAGAAATAGCAGCCTTGAAGGCAAAAGAGTCGATCTTGAGGATGTCGTACATTCGAGAGCCTTCCCATTATTCTCTTATGCTACACTTTATTGGCCTGAACATGCAAGAGCTCTAGCTTGGTCAGACGATGTTTTTGATTTGTCACACCCATTTTATCAGAGGAATTCTTTAGCTCGTGAGTCTTGGCTAAAGATTTATTGGCCGATGAAAGAACCTAAGTATCCGCCTACCGCATTTACATTATTACATCTGGCTTCGTGTTTTAGTATTCTACCTCTTGTCGAGACTATTCTTAATAAGAAAGGATTGATCAACAAAGTAAAGCGTCGACTCGATCTTAATAAAAAGGATAGTTTCGGTGGGACAGCGCTGTATTGGGCCGCTCGGAGCGGAGATGCAGCTGTAATGCGGCTGCTGCTAGAGAAAGGGGCGGACGTCGAGGTTAAGGACAAGCATGGGTGGACAGCGCGGACATGGAGGCTAAGGACAAGTATGGGTGGACAGCGCTGCACTGCGCAGCTCAGGGAGGGCACGACGCCGTGGCGCGGCTATTAACTCTTACTTCTAACTCCTCCTAATCAGGTGCCGGCAATCCAACCTCCCCACCCACCACCATTGTGTCCACCTCTGGATATATATTCCATTTCTTTTTATTAAGACTATGGATATTATAATCACGATCTGCTTCCATAGAACAACTTGGAAATAATTACTTATTATCACATAAATAAGTGCCTACTAATGACAAATCAACCGCCGCTAAGCTATTATCAGTTTAGTAATTCTAGAACATAAAATATTACGAAACTCACCCTCTCTTCTGTTATAGTATATTAGATAAGGATATATTAATAGATACTATAGTAACATAACTATGTTATGGAATTGATACGGACTCTTAATAGACATAAGTCTACAAGTCCTCTAATTTCCAGTTCATCGTGGTTGACTTTTTGATACAATCCTTATCGTTCTCTATATTGTAACAAAAAGCTCCGTATTCCACAGGTATCTTAGTCAAATGTTGGCCGCGAGGGCCTTCTGGTTCTTGGATCAGCTTTTCTAAATTCGTTAGCTTAACTTACCTCTATTATTGATAGCTTTCGGTAGCTCGGAGGGATGACAGGTGTTTACTGTAGTCAGAGCAGCACAACAGAGACTCTAGCCACAGTTCTAAGAGTATAAGAATGAATATTGAAGGAAAAAAGATGCACAAGCTAATCGGGAGTAGAAGAGGTGCAGTGCAGTAGGACTAGAACTAAGCGAGAAGGAAAGGGGTTGTCTTAAGTGGGGCAAACAAGATGCAAATTAAAAAATAAATAAAAAAATAAAAAATAACATACAACAGCAGGTATTCGCTGGTGGTCACCCACCCAACTACTAATCTGCCGATCTGAGGCTTGTGTATGGCAGAGCGGACGGGATGCCCAATTCTCCTCAGTCTATGGTCGTATGTAACAGTTCTCTCTTTATTTCAAAATATATACTATAAAGCCCTGGTGTAAGAGACGATTGGGCCCTATGGAGGGGAGCCTTAGTCCCCGAGTTCTACTACCAGTATCTATCTGGCGGTATCGAAACGGTTAAAAGCGACTCTGTATTAACCGGTAAAGTAATCAGACTTTCCGGCTGTCGCCGTACTAGGTCACGCCACTCAGGTAAAAGAGTGGCGTGACCGGGGCGAACCTACCGCGATTTAAATGGTGTGGTTTCCTGGCAGCATCTTACTGATATTTCTATCTTTATACAAAATAATATCACTGTAGTAGCAATTGATTCCCAGTGTCAAAAGTACAAGAACAATAAGTTACACATAGAAGCATGGCTATCACGAAGAAATGGGCAACTGATGGACCGTTCAAGCTACTTTCCACGCCAAGAGCGGCTCTCAAGGTAAGACAGTTTCTTAACATATCAGCAGTTGCATTACTAATCAGAATTAGGGAGCACCTGAATCGAAAGCCAGTAAAAATGCCTCCGAGATGGCGCTTGTACACAACGTCCTTCTCCGCGGCTTGAATTCAATCTATCTTCAAGCACCCAATGTCAAAGATCCCATGGACATCATGGATTTCATGGTGTTCTCTGATTGTTGGTCGCGAGTTCTCCATGCCCATCACCTTACGGAAGAGACCGTGTATTTCCCATTACTTGAACAGCAGAGTAGCCAGAAGGGCGTTATGGAAACCAACCATAACGAGCATGAAGCCTTTCTCCCAGGCTTGGTAGCCTTCGATAACTTTGTTTCGGCGGCAGCAGACGACTTCGTGTTATACGACCCCGCTAAATTCATCAAGTTGATCGATGACATGGGGCCTCCGTTGGAAAAACATCTGCACCATGAGGTCAAGGTGCTTGTGGATTTGGAAAAGGATGAGGCTATTGACTGGGACCTTATGGGCAAGACTATGGCTGCGGAGTCGAAGAAAACTGCAGACAGAGTAGGCAGCACCACGTCTCCCCTTTTAAACCCACTTGCTTACGGAGGAAACAGATTCGCGAAGTCCCCTTTATGATAACGAATTCTGATGTAACGTATGAGGGAGGGATCCATGGGGAACGGTTCCCCCCCTTTCCTTGGTTTGTTGGTCAGATTTTCCGCTGGATTTATGTCCCACGACTATGTGCGGCGTGGAAATTTTCTTGTTGTGATGACTATGGATTGCCAAAAGATTTAGCATTTGTTTGAAGTTTGAAGGAGCGAAAGTAAACTCGTGCACTTGGGAGAACACTTTACTCGGCTGGGAATTCAACGTGAGGTACAGAAATATTTTGGCTCTCTTTTATATAAGCGATTTGTTGAACTGACACGACAAGGGTATACGATGCAATAGGGCTTGAAGCTAGTATGAAGAGGTCAAGTCATATATTGTGATTGATATGTAGAGAAGAGGATATAACCGAATACCCGAAGACCAGTTTTATGGTCAGTCATGCTTATGTCAGCAGCCAATTCCAACACGATTGTATTATGATAAGTCAGCGTAGCCTCTCAAGGGTATGCTCACCTAGAATTCGCCGTCACACGGATTTCGTCATCAACCTTTGGTGAAGGTACAAGAGGTGCCAAGTGTGGCGTAGTTTGAAAGCGGGCTGTGTGGCACTGAGGTAGGGGTTATTTCGATTTAAGGTGAAGACTTGATTGTTCTAAGATCTACGGGTGCATGAGATATCATATCCTCATGCATGACTAAGCTAATCCGATGTTCCATCAATCACGTGATTCTAAAGCCACCTCCACAGCACTTACCTAGCTTAGACTAGGTCGCAAGTTATTGACGGGGCCTCCAGCTAAGCGACGAGGCCTCACTAGGATATATATAACCTTTAGAATTTTCCCCACTTCTTTCTAGCTACCTTCATCTCAACTTTTTGGGAGCCAGCAGCCTTCGGCTGTGAATGCTCTGTATATACACCACAGGTGCGGAGCCATAATCTCCGCGTAGCAACACATTTCGCACGACTATGAAGGGCAATTAGGCACGTGTTTACAGTACCCCTTAGCCTCATTAAATACATCTAAAATCTAGGCGCATAGCATAAGCTGATACTTACTGACCATCATAATTATACAGGTACACACAGCGACCTCTACAATGTCCTCTTACCTCGCACAATTCAAGACTTGGAATTTGAGCAATCCTACCCGGAAAGCTTCTCTTTCCATCAAGACGAGTCTAGCCCAGAATTACAGGAAAGTGTCTATGACACATACCCTGTAGAAGACGAGGCCTCGCCAACGTTATTATCATCAGTGCATCAACAGATCCTCCACAATTATCCTGTTCCAGCTCCAAACCCTCCCGATTTTGTCGATCAAGCACCCAAACATACTTTGATTGACGAATCCTTCCATTCGCCTCCCACAGAAATAACCAAAATACCCAGCGAGGTAGACTTCAATATAGCCTCGTCACAACCGCAAACTCTATCAGCTACGGGTTTATCGATAGACATTCATTCTATTTCGCCACAGATTCCAGAGCCAGCCGCTGGGCGAAATGGATCACATCAATGTTTGCTTTGTGACAAGGCCTTCAAAAACAAGTCTATCCTTAGGTAAAGTGTTCTTTAAAGTCCTTAAACTTATGTTCACTAATCAAGTCGCCCTTGTTAGACGCCATGCCAAAACTCACGATCGGAATCTCCAGCTTCAGTGCAACGACTGCTGGAGATCTTTCCCAGAACGCAGGGATCTCACTCGCCACCGAGAAAAGCATGGAGTTGCTGGACCGCAAAGATATTTCTGTTCATTTGATGAATGTGAATTCGCTCGAAAACGCGAGCGTGGATTTCCGAGACTGGATAATGCCAAACGACATGTCAGGAGGTGCCACGGCGACGGAACGGCACATGTACTACGTATTAACAGACAATGATGAAGTGAGAGTTAAGAAGGCCATTGTTGGGGTTGCGAATCTCTAAACAATGTCAGGAGAAAACGAGCGAAGGCCATCATCGCGCCAATATTCCGCCAACGATTATTACAGTACATGTTTTTATAAGATACTTGATCTGCATCATCTTCCAGTTTGGAGCAAGCGCAAAGAAACATTCCAACGCCGAAAACAGATTCACGAGCACTGGTCAAATCCAGAATCCGAGCCATTGTCTGGACTTACCGAAGATGAACTATTTGATGCCGTCATATCAGAGTTTAGTGAGCACCTCAAAGTCGCGTCTGACAAATTTATAGAGCAATTTGATTCAACAGACATGGCCTATAACATAGCATCATTCGAATCAAATCTGGCTCACGACCTTGCTCAGGAAACTGTTTTCGATCCCGTTCTGAGTTTTCTCTCACAGGCCACTTGCTATTGTCCGAAGCTCGGCCCAGAAGCGACAAACTCATTGCTTTCATTTCCAGATGACTATTCATCTCCAAAGAGAAGCAGCAAAAAGGTTTACGACAAAAGGACACCATGTGAAACTTGCTGGTTGGAATACAGAACATGCGATGTTGGCTTGGTCAAGTTTTCTCCGCTTGAGCAGCGGAACATCCCATGCTGTCTCTAACCAAAGTCCTGAGTATGACGGTAAACTGCTCACACCGACAGCATTGACAAGGTTTCATGTATTCACTGATCACACTGATCACATGGGACAGATGAATGCTCTCTGTACAGGTACTGCTTTTTAGGTCGGTAGTCGCCCTCTGCTCTGAGGACTACACTACTCCCGTAAAAGCGTAAAGTAGTACGTTATGATCTTCTCAAAGATTCGCCATACCGTATCCAGGAGAAAGCGTTCCCATGGTACTGTCACATATTAATTACATAGATATCCGCATTCCTTGAGGTCCGTTTGGTAAATATGGCCTATACCGGTATTTAGTACGTTTACAGAACAAGCGTACGTTATACAGAACAAGCATACGTTATACAGAACAAGCGTACGTTATACTTACCAAGCGGGTCTCTATCCATCTTCCCGTGTAGATGATTTGGCCATCATCTGCCGCAAAAGTCCGGCTGCTTAGGACATTGTTACCATACCAATTTGCCATTTGGGGATAGGGGAGCGGCGTTGGAAGGAGGGGCAGCGACCGTTGGAGAAGTCGATGCTTTGTGTAAGTTGTCCACAGATGCCTCAGTCTTGCTCGCCACTAATTATATCCTTCACAGTTTGTCAGAGGTGAGCATTCCTACTGATTTGGACCCTCCCGAATCACGGGAGAAGTGAATGGGCTGAGGTGCCCACCGCCATATTTCCTGAATTGGACTTTGCCTGTGGTCTGCGACCAAGGATATGGCAAACGATCGCCAGTCTGTCGGCGACAAACTGTCGCTTGAGCTTCATGCCCGCTCAATGGGACTTATCACGTGGCATTCCTTCCTCTTTATGAGCTTTCGTGCCGGCTCATTATTGAGTTCCTAAATCCCGAGGCATATTATCAGGACCGGTACGTCCTCTACAAACTGCCTTGCTTTGAACTTTCATGCCAATTCTTGGTCGACTTTGCGAGGCATAGTCTCAGGTCCGATGCGTACGTCTTCCACCAACTGTCCTTTCCAAGCCTTGTTCGCACATCAAATCTCAGCTTGTAAGTAACAAACACTTCAAAATTTCCATTCACATTCTACATATATTTGAATAGCTTCTAACCAGGTCGTTGCTCTAGGTTGTGCTTCCATTCTTTAGTTTCCTCTTTCCGCGTTGATGATAATGATTTTAAAATGTGTTATGAGACCACGAGTATTGTTTTTCGACAGTCGTTTGTAATGGCCGAATTTTCCTGGCTTTGCTTTTCCTTGTAGGATTTGGTTCATTCCACGGTTCTGAAAACACTGTGTCATCTTTGGATTTATGCGCCTCCCTTTATCAATCAATATCTATGCACCACGCGCCGTTCTTTAAAATTTCCTCTCCCCACGAACCGCCCATTGCAAAAGAGAATCCCTCAATCTAGGCTCGAGGCACGGGGTCCAGGTACTATCCACCGCGAGTCGCCTTCTATTTTCTACTATGCTGTAAACAAAGCTTGAGCCCACCTAGTCCGTTTGAGACATTAGGTTAAAATGGGTCTATACACGTGACCGTACGTGTACATAATTCCGAGAACGATTTGAGACCAAGGCTTTTGCTATGGTAGAATGCCGAGAAAGCCCAAATCTCCTTAGTCTGTAATGCTATAAAAGTACCATTTGAATATATACCTTATACTATGAAAATGTACAGCCTGTCTCCCGATGCTTACTAGGCCAGACCAGGCTAATGCTGCTCGCTTATCACTTGCATGCTTTGATACGACGACGACTGGGACTTGTTGAATGGAAATAAAAATCAATTAATCTAACCAGTATTTTATCACGAAGGTATGGTCCCGAGTGGCCACCCGGCATAATAACCAGGCAAGGTACCCACCTTGCAGGACCCAGGATTTGTGAAGGAGCCTGAGCTCCCCATACATTTGTCAACGGCGGTGATGTTATACCACTGGCAATTGATACTCGCGGCGCCTCCTTGACGCGTGTCTGCACCTTTATCGCAACGGTCAAAAATACTCTGGAAGGCCGTCTTGCAGTCATCCTGGTTGAGGTTGATTCGGTCGGTACAGCCTTTGTCGAGATAGGCAAACATGAACAGTTCACCACCGCTGCTGGCGCCATCCTTGCTGTACCCGCTCGGCGCATTGCTGTATGGATTGGACGGGATTGTCGCAAGGCTGGCTCCACTGTTATCAGAGCAGAACTTGTCGCCAGCGCTGATTAGCGAGTCCTGCTTGATGCTGAACTGCTTGTTGACATTGCACGTGGGAGTAGGTGCAGCGGCTGCTTGGGTGGATTGGGTGGATTTTGTGTTTGTGGCTGCGCAACCTGTCACCGCGGAGCCAGCATTCGTCCAAGTAGCTACTGGATACATCGAGTTGTCGTTACAGGTGCAGTACGGTCCAGACCCTACACCAGTTCCCGAGATGGTCTCGGTGCGACAGGAAGTCACGGAGCCGCCGGTTACTTGTGTGACCTTGGGAGATATAGTAGCGGTTGGCGTTGCTGTGTACGCGCATGGAGAAGAGGGCGTATCAACAGTTGGGTAGATGCGTTTTGTACCCGCGCTGTCACACACGCACCACGAGGCAGGCGTTGCGGCGGGCTTGCCATCAAAGGCATTACCATCACTGTTGACGGAGCAAGACGGTGCAGCAGTGCCAAGGAGGGCGTGGTTTGCATCAATAGATCCAGCGAT